CTTAAGTAGATAGAATGTGGGGTTTGGGTATATTATAATAAGATCCCCATATACCCCATATTCTATCTACTTAAGGGGGACTATAGATGTAAGCGGGCCCTTACCAGGGAAGATGGCTTTGATTTGGGGGTTTAGGTGGGCGCAGGGTTTCAGTTTCAATGTGGGGGGGGAAGCTGCATGTAAGGATTTGGAAGGCAGTCGGATTGCCCATGTGGCATGCCGTTGATTCTGTTGAGGGAAATTTCAGAGCAAAGTGGAGCTTGCAGATGTGCAAGCGAACAGCTGCATTGCAATCTTCAAGCCGTCCTCATGTGATTCGCCACAGCCGCAGCTCTCAACATCAGACCTCTACAAGATTTCCTGGAATCTGATTCGCTTGCCCGATGAAAGCGCTACGCTCAATCGACCCTACAACATCCTACCATCCCCAAAATGACCCACCTGAAGCCCCACCCATAGTGCAATCCTGTCATAGGGGAAAATGTTCATTGTTAAGGGGTAGAAGTGCGGGGGATTATTGATAGCTAGGAGAGCAGGTTCGGTAGAGATTGCCGCCTCCAGGCCACGGATGTCTCACGCAACGAGTCCTCCCGCCTTGAGGTCGGGAGCTTGTAGATTGTTGATCTTTCCTCTCCCTTGGTTTAGGCTTGGAGTTCAGAGTATTGGGGTTTTGGGAATTAGTTGTCAATGTTAACCTGCCCCCACACGGCGGCCGGGCTCATTGATGGCAAGGAGGAGGCCTTGAGGGCTGGATCTTGGGATTGGATAATCTTTCCTCATATCCATGGGGACTGGAGCGAAGCATTCGGAATGCGCATTGAGGATTGACATGTCTTCAGCTCAATTCTAGAGAGAGCCTTCAAACTCCAAACTTGATTTGATCTTTGTCCTGCTGGCCACGGTGTTTCTGTCTCAGTTGGAGTAATACCTTCTGCCCAGAATGAATCATTCTCCAAGCAACAAATATTCTTATAGTAGCAGACAACCATCGTACGAATGCTGCTAGTAACCGTAATACAAAGAAGATCTTGGAAATACTTCGAATTTGTTGTTTCTGGGTTGCTGCTAAGAAACTTGCTTAATTTACTATAATAAGGAACCTTCATTATCTTATATAATACTACATCCAGACTAGGGGTAAGGGAAGGGTCTTTTTTTGGGATGTCCTTATTCCGGGATTTTTCATATTTGGGGTCAAGGACCCCCCCAGTTTTGGGAGACTCCCATATGAGTAGCGTTTTTTTTGGTGGTTGAACCTAGTAAGATTATATTCCTTATATAACATACTGTACACAAAAGGAGGATGTAATCTTACTCTATATTGGGTACCATAGTATCCCCAAATAAAATACTACTCATATCAGCTTTCAGCTTACAAACTTAAAGCTGCTGAGCTTGAAAGGAGCGCAAAGGCACCGAGAAGTCCGAGAAGCGACTCAAGGACTGCGACGGGTGTAGGGTTTAGGGTTTAGGATTTAGGGTTCAGGGTTAGGGTTTAGGGTTTAGGGCATTATGAGGAAGATGCCCTGATATTACACAGAAGGGTCAGTTTGTCTTTCCCTTTAGAAAGTACCAAGAAATTGGACCTACTTTGCGAGGTGATTCGTCGTTTGCATCATTTGTGTGGAAAAGCTCTGCGATCCCTATATAATCCCCATAACCCCTGCATGATCTCTAGCAAGCCCATAGGAGCTATAGTCTAAACTCCTTTACGGGGAGATCTGAGGATTATAGAGGAGAATTATAGGGGTTATTAAGGAGGATACTAGGAGTTCAAACTATGGGCCAGAAAATGCTGACAGGGCTTCTGTGCGTCACTGCTTGCTCTGCGCAGTTTCCTACACACGGTACTTTATCAAGAGAACCTCTAGTCAACTCCTAAGAAAAGTCATATAATCTGCTTGTATGCAAATCCCATATGGGTATATGAGTATATGTATATATATATAGACACATATATTCGGGTGTCTTGGAGTCCCTGTTCTTTGAGAAATCCCCACACAATTGTGAAGCCTGGGTTGAGGACAGCTTTATTTCAACAACGGTCTGGCAAAGCTTTTCTTTTTTTTCTCCGGTGCTAGAAGCGGGAAAAATCAAGCCCCAAATAGTAGCTTCTATTTAGATTCCAGTTTCCCTCTTCCTTGGTGTTTGACTTGCCAGTAGTGTGGCAATCTCCCCGGCAACCTCAAGCCCTGAATGGTAGCTGTAGCTTTGATTTTTGCTGGGGAGTTCAGTCCTCGAGCTGCGAAGGCGAGATTGGAAGAGCCGCGGCCATGGCTGTTGAGCAGAAGAATATTGATTGGTATACCCATATTGTAATATAGTAGTTTCCATTTTCTTTTCCATTATCCCTATATACCCCTATATATCCCTATGTACTTTATATACCCTATTATAGCATGATGGATCGTCTAAATGCTAATGGAATTTACCATTGATAGTTTACCTTCTTGCTTACTTCTTCAATATCTGCACTCAATCAAGATGCCCATGTCGACGGCAAGTGACAGAGATATTGATCCAGATCTTTGGTGATGAATCATGTCATTCAGAGTCACCGCCCATCTTCAAACTCCACCAATACAGCTGCAGATTGGTTGGTATACCCATATCTTAATATAGCAGTTTCCATCTTATTTTCCATTATCCCTATATACACCTATATACCCCTATGTACTTCATATACCCTATTATATATGGCAGTATCCATTTCTTTTTTAGTATCTCTATATTTCCAAAATACCCGCAACTGCTGAGTGAGGTTGGAGGCTCGTCTGGAGATGATGCAGTGCGCGCCACAGAAATGCAAAAATTCGACCCCTCCCCAAAGGCCAACCAAGGTTCAAAAAGGAGCCATGTTTCAGAAAAGCCACTGGAGTCGTACAGTGTTTGAATAGCCGGAAGCTTCACCCTGCGCAACTCTCAATCCACAAGAAGCACCCTGAAAGGTGAAGCTACAGGGCCTTTATCAGAATATTGGGGTATTTGTGATTGAGCGCGTGGTGGGGTATTCTTGAGTCCAAGGAACTACTGCCCGATATCTAGAGAGACTTCATGGGACCCGCGCCCTACCCAAATCCTAAACCCTTAACCCTGAACGTGGCGCTCCGACAAGCTAGAAGGAATCCCATCTTTCAGAGGGCTGTAGTCTTGACATTTAGGGGGTTCTTTGCGGGTTCCATGTTAATCCCCTCCCTCTCATATTCGACCCCCCCACACCCCCCTAATATTAGATTAGATACTCCCATTGTGTGGTATGTTATGATATAAAGGGAGTATTTAGTGTATTTGATATTGGAGGGGGGGGGGTTGGGGGGATGTGAATATCCACCCTAAACCCATAGGGGTGGGGGGGGGTAATATTGGCTGGAGAGGATTACTTTGTGGGGTGATGAGGTCTGGCTCGCCGAAGGCGATCTCACGGCCTGGGCCACAGAGTGGAGGGGGTTGATCCAAGCATCCATTGCTGGGTTGCTGTTAAGGAACTTACTTTATGTTACCATAATGGGTAACCCGGCTTTAAGTTCCTTTACAGCAGCCCAGATTGTGCAGTGGGCTAGGCCCCTACCCACTCATAGTTTTTAAGTGGCACATTATTAGGAATATATGGGGACCCCAATGTGACTACCATGATCTCTTATGGTCGTTATTATTGGGTTGGGGCCCAACCCCATGTTCTGTGATCATCACAAGAATCATGGAAGTGTTGTTACAACTCATACTTAACTGCTCCCCGCAGCTCAAGTCACTTGCAGCCCTCGGTGTATAGGTTTATGCCGGAGGAGCAATGATCTTGGAAGGCAGCGTCGACGAGGGGGGCGGTCCGCCAATACCCCCCGCCTTCACTGCGCCAGGCTGGCTAACAGTGCTAGAGATGCGGCTGCAGCTATTGAGCAGCTTGAAACCCCTCTTGAGCCTGTTATTGATGCCAGTATCAGTTGTCACGTTCATCGCTTACTTAGGGGGCCAGGCACTGCTCAGGAAGACGCTCCCCTTCGGCGCGGCTGTCTCTACATGCGTGCTCCTAAAGGCTTTGGGGGAGAGCATTGGGCCTCCATTCAGTAGCTTTCAGCCGAGCAGTGCCATCGTTGTTGTTGTGCTTCTCATGGAGCCTGGGATCACTGTTGAGAGACTGCTCTTGCGAGCTTCTGAGCGCGTTGTGGGCACCTGCATGGGTTGTGGGCTTGCTGTGACCATGGCATTGCTGATGGATATCTTGGGCAAGGAGCCTCTTCAGATTTGCAGTTTCTGCTTCGCAGCATTCACCATGTTCGGCGCTGTGCAGGCACACCATGGTGTCATCCCCTTCGTGTTCTCCGTTATGTGCATTGCGTGTGCCGTTGTGATTTTCGGATTCATGACGACTGGTTGGGCGTTCATTCGCAGCCAGGTCGCGTCTGTGTTGATTGGGGAGATCGTCTCGCTGTCGTCCTCCTTATTCTTCGAAGCATTGTTGGGGAACGCTGCCAGCTCACGCTCGCAGGCACATGTGGTTGCAATCGCCAAGGAGATGGTGGACAAGGCTTTCGTAGCGATGGAGTTGGTGTTCATTCACAACGAGGCTGCAGCTCTTCGGGCCGCAGGGAGCAGTCCTGCTCGGCAGTTTCGCGCTGCCGGCCGTCGGAGAACTTTCAGCCCAGGCGTTCTTGAGCTGCTCTCCCACACAGAACCACACGGATCCATGGCCGAAGATCTGGGCTGGCTAGAGAGCCAGGAAGCAGGGCTAGAGTCGCGCTCACGAGCATGTCTGGCTGACATGGCAGCTGTTGAGAAACTTTGGGGCATGGTAGGCCTCAGCCGGAAGAGTGCTGTGCCCCTCTACGGCGGCGTTCTCCGGCAGATTCATTTCCTGTTCTTGCAGGCATGTACGCTTGCACGCGGGGCTCCTCTTGACCCAGAAGTACGCAGCGAGATGAAACAGACCTTGGATGGCATTCGTTTCAATGTGCTGGCGGTGTGTCAGCCTCTTCGAATCTTCCTGGGCGCCTTGAACGCAACCAATGAGGCCTCTGTCGAAAAGCTCAATGCCGAGATCGTAAGGATGTGCGATAGCCTTAAGGAGGTCCACGAGAAGCTGGACTCCATTTGGATTGCTTGCAAGCAACAGTGGCAGTCAGCATATAAGGCCGCTTCGGGCTCGGCCGGCCAACGAATTCGATCAGCCATACACATGGCAAAGCAGAAGCGTTCAGCAGCAGCATTCTGCCAGGGATTTGATGCTATCCTTGCTGCCACCGCAAACTTGGTGCGGGAACATCTTCATGTTGCCTGCCCAGATGCCGCGCATGCTGAGACAGTCGATGCCCTTCTTCATCGACTGGAAGAAATCTCTGGCCTGCCGCCCGTGTGCCAAGAGGCAAGCTAGGCCCAGGGATAGAGAGCTGCTGTAGTAGTGTAGCTGCTCGAAGTCAGGGGTCCTCAGCAAACCCACAAAGGATTGCACCAAATGTCACGTACATCCTAATCCTAATCCTTGGCCCTTGGAGCATCTTTGTTCACCTGATATGTGGGATATCTCGAGATTTGTAGGAGACCCCTGGCAAAGTGCCCAATGGCGCAGCGGTTGGCATGACAACGCAAGTGTCGAGGCAAAAATCATGTCCCGTCATCAAGCTGCAGGAAGATCGACAGCTTTCCGCTACCACAAAACAAATATGCATCAACATCATTACGATGTTTAATCACCATTACATTTCGTTACTATTACAGGAAGGAACGCGCGATTTTTGCACATGTGCGATTTTTGAGAGATTTCTATCATTTCAATTGAGCGATCATGACTTGACAGGGGATGTCGTGCTGTCACGGTATGCTACTTTACTGCTCGGGGCCTTTGCTATATAATGCTTGTCCGGGTCTAGAGAGTCCAGGGGTAGAGGGCTTTAGGAGCCAGCAGAGGTGAAGGAAGAGGAAGACAATGAGAAGTGCGCCTTGGGGGCAAAAACTAGAGCCAGATTAAAATTACGATACGTATTAATGACTACCACTATTATTACTGCTATTACCTCTTATCTACTACTATTACTTCTTCTCTATTACTACGACTGCTAGACTAGTACTACTACTAAAACAACAACAACAACAACAACAACAACAACAACAACAACAACAACAAGAACAAGAACAACAACAACAACAACAACTACAACTACAACTACAACTACAATTACAACAACAACTACTACTACTACTACTACTACAACTACTACTAGTAGCACCTTTACTTGAAGAGGTGGGCACACTCGTCTTTTTTCTTTCAGGCCTTCGCCCTTGACTCTCAAAACTGCCCCCGCCCCCGCACAGTTTCTTGTCCACATTCGGCATGTGGGGGATTGTCAAAATTATGGTCCTTTTTTGGGTCCCTATTATAATACGGGGCCTAATACGGGGCCTAATTTAGGGGTCCCAAAAAGGGACCATAATTTTGACAATCCCCCATGTTACATCATGCAGGATGATTTGTCGGCAAGCCTACTATGCTTGCGAAGACCTTCCAAGTTGTTGGTGGAAGAAGGGTACCCATTCTGTGACATAGCATTTGCTTGCAGAATTGGTACGAGCGAGATCAGCAACAAAACTAAACCCTAAAATCCTATAAGCTCTAAACCTTAAATAGTAGTTTCCATTTTCTTGTCCATTATCCCTTTATAACCCCAATATACTAAAGTAGTTTCCATTTTCTTTTCCATTATTCCAGTACGGCCCCTATAATAACCCTCTACCCCAATATAACCCCAATATAACCCCAACATAACCCCAATATAACTCTAAACCCACTATAACCCCAATAGACTTGTAACAGCACCCTTCCAGCTCCAGAGAGCCAGAGCTGCTCAGTACCTTATTCCCAGCAGTCCAAGGCTGGAAAGCCATCGTTTCGACCGCCTTCCTGAGGCTTTATACTGGGTTTAGGGTTTAGAGGTTATATTGGGGTTATATGGGGGTTATATTGGATATAGGGTTACTATATGATCCCCCTATAATGGAGAATCAACACGCCTGTGGAAGCCTTCTGGTCTTGAAATACTGGAGACATGTATCATTCCCCGCCTCTTTCAGTGCTGCAGGGGAATTCTTGTGAGATGGTTTCTCAAAGCTCCTTGTAGACTCACCCGCGAGCCATGCTATGCCACATGTCAGTCTTGCATGTTGCTCTTAAACCCTGAACCGTGACACCGAACAAGTGACCTCATGCCTATGAGTACGGCGTGGCAACTGCTGGAAGCAGGGACTTCCCATGTAGATCCCTGACTAATCACCCCCCTCCCCTTAATAGGGATCATAATGGGGATCGCGTTAAGGGTTTAGGGTTTAGGGCCTCCCCTGAATAGGGATTGTTTTTGGGATATTAAGGCCATTAAAAGGATGTTTTTTTTTTTAAAAAAAAAATCACGGGTCTACATTACCCCGAGGTAGCTGAAGCTTTGGGTTCTTCAAGCTTCCAGAATAATGTAAACGGATGAGAGGCGAGCTTGGCAGACGTTGCCCGCACCCTGGAGGACAGCTATATGGGCACGTGCCAAAACGATNNCCCTTTTCGGCACACCCCCATATGGCACTATATGGGAGCTTCCAAAATCTCAGATCCCCCTTCATTGGGGCCCGCAAATGTAGTTGTATAGTATTTGGGGGTATACGAGGGTACCATTTCTGGGGCAGCCCCTATATGATGTTCGAGGCGTAGGGTTTAGGGTTGCGGCATATTCCCCGGAGCGTCGCAAAAAGATCAACGCCAAATACTTATGCTCTGTGAAGCCCACTGAGGTGGGACTGAGCGGCTGTAGGTTGCATGTAAATCTTTTCTTGGAGAAAGAAGGGAAGGACAAGACATAGAAGCAATTACTAAGATATGTATATATATATGTAAACTGTAGCGCTCTCAACAGAAGCATGTGTTTAGCTTCGTACTTGTCAAAGGACTAGTAAAGACATGCGCCAATCCCAGCCGCAGGAGCAAAGGGCTGTCCTTGCCGAACATGATGCGAGGCTTCACTTGCATCTCTGTGCAGTCGAAAAAGATCCTTGTGAGTGTCAAAAGAAGGCTCTCCCCTATTCACAGAAAATTGTCCGCGTTGTAGGGTCCCCCAACAATGGACCCGAGATTTTTGGAAATCCCACACACAATCTGATCTTTCCCTCGTTCAAAGCATGCCCAATGTTAACAATTCCTTGTAAGAGACCTTGCATACTGCAGGACGTATTTGCTAAGGTTAGGGTAGGGGTTACGCAGAGCTTCTACTGGTGTGTCTCAGGATAGCGAGATGCTTCGCTGATTCTGCATCTCTCCGTTTTTTTTTGACGCTGTTAGCATCCAGCGATGGCCTTCCTGTAGAGTGCCCAGTGCCCAATGCCCAGGCCAAATCGTTCTATGAAACTTTACCCAAACTTGGCAACAGCTTCTCAAGCTTCACAACATCTTGGGTTATCAGGGTTTACAGCCGTGTGCAAAGCTGAAGATCTTTTGGAGCCCACCTGCAGGCAGCAGAATACTCAGAAGCTGTTTAGCCAGCTGGAAAAGTCCGCCCAGGACGGGTTCAAGCTTTGGGAAAAGGAGGTCAACATGACCATTCTGCTAGCTGATGTTTTGATGTAATTGTCAGTCTGATTGTGTGTATTGCTGCTAGAGCTACTCTCGTGAGTTTGTGTTTTTCTCGTTGTTTGTTGCCAGCAGTCTCATTGCCATCATGAGTACCATTGTTTGTAGATGTGTCGCCCTGTAGAAATTTCAGATGTGAATAGCTATCACTCTCAAGACATGATTTTGAAACCCTTCCCTTTCAGGAATCCCCTTCCAAATGGCTGCTGTCAGGCCCAAAAGGTGGAGTGGGCACAGGTCAATTGCCCACTCGTTTAGGGGGCAGGCGTGTAAACGCAAAGTTGGGCAGGCATGACGACTCACTCAACCTCACCCTAAGTGGTGTTTAGAATAAAAGACAATCCCAAAGGGTTTAGGGTGCTCCATTTCAGGTTCCAAAATTGCTATAAGGCCCTGACAAAGAGTGCCATACATGTACTATACTCTAAACTCCAAGCATCCCCCTTAATAACCCTTATAGTAGTCCCCTATATAAACCCCATTAAGGAGTTTAGACTATAGCATACATGAAGACAATTGTCCCGGCCATGGTCAGAGTCAGCAAAACCTGGCTGATGCCCATAGATTGGCCAACCTACTAGTGACCTCAACCGACCTCACCCCCAGAATGGTGGTTGATATAACATAATATGATATGATATAATTTAATCTAATATAATATAACATAATACAACATAGTGTAGACAATGGTCCCCAAGAGGCCTTACCTCAGATTCCGAATTCATTGTAATTCAGCCAGTACATATTAGGGAAGGTCTGAACACGTTGGTCCACGAGCTACCAAACTAATCTAGCTCCTACCCTCCAGCAAACTAGTTCCATGAAGCCCCTTTCTAGGAGGACAGTAGGCATCAGGGCGTCAAGGCCAAACACTTCCACAGGATGTACAGCCGCTCTTGCAGAAGAAGCTTGCTGACCACGACGCTAGGCGTGCTGCCTTGGAGCTCGAGATTTTTGCGGTTAGTATTGTATTTGGAGATACTATGGTACCCATTATAGAGTAAGATTATATCCTCCTTTTGGGGTATAGTATTTTATATTCCTACTCAGTTTTTTCGAGTTTTGCGGTTCAGGCTTCCAGGGAAGCAGGCTACGGACCCTGAAGTGTTAGCTTACAGACTGAGTGTTACAGGGCTCACTAGCCCCCTTTCAGAGACCTATATTGGGGGTGGGTGGGTGTTCAAGATCAGTATAAAGGGCGTCGGTCTTGCAGAAATCAGAGTCTAAGGCTTTATTGACTTCGCATGCCGAGTGCAGTGCTTTCAAGGCCAAGCCCTTAACAACTCCGCTGCCAGACCCTGTAAAAATTAAATCTAATGTACACCCTGCTACCTCAACCTAGAGCTTAAACCCTAAACCCTGAACAGTATGGGCCCATGGCTTATGGATGCCTCTCCATTTTCCATCCGATGTGTGCAAGTTTGCCGCACTATCGTGGTGAGCTCCAAGAAATTCAACAAGTGGCAAATGTTACGGAATTGTGTAATGGACCCGAGCCTATGCTGTACTCCATGTAATTCTGTTTCAAGCTGCTATCTGAGCTATCTTGCCTCATTGTCGCTTCAGTCCCCGGAAATTATCCTGAAAGGCAGATCAATGGCTCATACGGGGTGTCACACCTAAACCACCTCTCTCTAGGGCTCGAGATGCAACACATAAGCTTGAAACTTCGTCGCATGATCCCCATATTTGGTCATTCACCTTCTTTGGGTGCAGTAGATGTTTGCTGCATGCTAGGAAGCTTCTGACAATTTCCATAGTATGCAGGGTCTGTTTTCCAAAACGCATTTCCAAAGCAGTATGTAGGAGTATACTGGGTAGGCCCCTGGGATATTTAGTAGTTTCCTTAATGGCCTTGATGGGGACCATATATACTGATATTTTTGAATTGGTTTTAGGGGCCAACCTGGGTACATAGTAGATAATGAGGTTCCCTTAATAGAAATCCTTGTTTTGAAGCATCTCCACTTCGAACATGTACGGTGGTACGTTCGTCTCCAGCCGGCTCTGTCGGGACTGCGCGAAAGACAGAACTTGCCTGGTCCGCGTTGTGAGTCTCATCGTCCATGCCTGTCACTACACTATTCTCCTGTTGAAAATGACTACCCTATAAAGACACCAAAGCAGCAGCCATCTCTCAACTGCCTTAAACATATGGGTACACTAGTGCTAGAAATCGGCAGCCCCCCCCCCCACCTGCTTCACTGCCTATACTGAAATACTATCCCTCAACCGTAAACCCTACGTAAACCTAGAAGTATAGAGCTTTCATGTCAACCCGGCATAATCCCCACCAACAGCCCCATCAAATTCCTTGGAGCCTCAAAGCCAGCATGCCAGAGCTGCCAGAGGCTTGAGCAACAGGCGTCCGAGCTGATCCAGGCAGTCCCAGCACTGCTGCTACTTCCAGTGGTCTTCCTCCTTTTGAATACTGGGTTGCTGTTAAGGGACGTACGTAAAGTTCCTATAATAAGGAAACCCCATCATTTACTATATACCCAGATCATGGTAACTTAGCTTAAGTTCCTTAACAGCAACCCAGATTAGCGTGATCATTTGATTAGGCTAGTAGCCGGTGCTACCCGGTATCCCAGCATATTGCTCGTGAAGATATTCACTGTTGCTGCCTGTCAGACATTTCGCACAGGCCCGAGATCAGGCCGTGCAGCTGGGGCGACAGAATACGGAGCTGAGGACTCAGCTCGAGGCGCAGAAGGACAGCTGGCTGAGGATGAATGGTGAAGGGAGTAGGCTTTAGGGTTTAGGAGTTCGCGCTTAGGATTTAGGATGTGTGGTGTAGGGTTTAGGGCTTCGGTTGAGGATTCAAAATATGATCCTTGCTATGCAAGACATACCGATAGTTTCAGTTACTCCCAGAGTTCGTGGTCTAGTGTCGACGCATTTACTTAGTATATGCTGCGCTATGCTGTTGCGTTGTCTGTGTGTGTGCCAGAACTGAAGCAGACGTTGCCAAGACAGATGCCTATGGTGAATGGAATCCGTTACCTCCCTGCCCCCCAGGTCTGGGTTGCTGTTGAGGCAGTTAATTGTAGTTACCAGAATATGGCTTGTGGGTAAATAGTAATCAACACAATAAGGCAGGTTAGAATTTTATGACCATAATAGGGATATAAACCCAAGAAATCAAAGAGCACTTACCTTCCTAGGGCTCCTTTTAGAGTGCTCTTTGAATCTGTTTACCCTAGGTCAAAATCCTAACCTGCAATAAGGTTTCCTTGTTATAGTAACTCAATCTAAGTTCCTTAGCGGCAACCCAGTAGTTCTAGACCTTAGGTGGTGCAAGGCTTCCTCCATCAGCCGTAACCTAGGCTTCCAAATGCGCATGCGTCTGTTCCCTGCAGCGTGAGACCTTGACCCAGCAGCTCAGGCTTCGACTAATGCATTGGGTGTAGGGTTTAGGGCAGTTCACTTTGGGGCATGTAGTGCTTGCTTTGCAGGTCTGGAGTATTCAACTCACATAACCTAGGAAAAGTGAGTTTTTCCAGGGCTTGACATTGCTTCCGTTGATCCTCGCCCAATGCCCAGCGATTGCCGGAAACCTACTAAATCCTGAACCCTAAATCGCAAGCCTTGAACCCTAAATCCTCAAAATCCTTTAAAACCCAAAAAACCAAAAACCCTAAACCCTAAACCCTTCGTGCAGGCGGGAAAGGCCCTCTGGCTGTAAAACAAAAACCCTAAACCCTAAACCCATATGAGCCATAATCTAAACTCCTTATAGGGGGTTATATAGGGGATTATATATTGGACTACTATAGGGGTTATTAAGGGGGATCCTAGGAGTTTAGACAATGGCTCATATAATCTTAAA